GGGGTCGGCGCAGGGGGCATGTGGCTGCTAAAAGCAAGCTTGGGCTCCATCTGCCAAGTCGGCTCCAGCTGGTGGAAGGAGGACTCTTCCAATTTGGACAAAGGCACGGTATGGGCTATGGCGGCCCTTCCTGAGAGTTCTTAGCGTTTTATCCACCGAGGGGGAGAAACCATGTTCTGGGAACTGTGCTCCTGATAACCCCTCACCCGACCCGAGGACCCTTCCTGAGGGGGAAGGGAGTCACAGGGCTTGTTAAACCTTCTCAGGAAACTCTTTGACAGATCTCAGTGGAGCTTCTGGCCAGAAGAAGTGTTAGAGAGGAACATATGTGTCCCTGATATAGCCCCTGTCACACTTGGCTGGGAGAAGAAATTTTCCTGGGGGACCCTAAGAGGGAGTGTGTCCCCAGTATCTGAAGCTCAAAATGGCTCTGTGAGGTGCTGGTGGGACTCTAAGGTTCGCCTGCCAGCACTGACGGCCGCACAAACTGGCTACGGCTTAGAAGAGGGGGAAATGGGAAAAAGGGGGCATTATTAGAAGGAGATTGGGGCAGAGAAGGAGAGTATGGGCCAGGACTCCCCAGCACAGTGACCTGACTGCCATGGAATGTTCAGGAACACAGCCATTGAGAGACCAGAATTTGCTTCTATGGCTTATTTACAATTCTCATCCCAAAATTCTAGGTATGAGTCTCCTGGTTTACACATTCATTTCTACTTTTGCTACCACAAAAATTAGGGTGAGAATGCCTAAATATCAGAACAAGATTTGACTTGTTTCTTTTTAAAATATAGAAAGATGGCTTGCTGCCGAGCCAAGAGTCTACTAAGACACAAAAATAGGAAAGCATTTCCAACAAGATTTTGAAATAAAAAAAAAAAGTTTTGCAAGGCTGAGAGAAAAATATCTGAACATTCACAATCAATACCACTTAAGACAAAATGCTACGAACTCTCCCATAGTCCCAAGACTTCCCAAGGCGCTCCGTGTCATTAAAGACGTTGGAGTTTAAACTTCGCTACCACGTTGGAAACTTGAAGCTAAGTGTGTTTGGCAGATCAAGTGCAATTCCACAGAGCTGTCTTTTCCAGGACTAGCCATGTCCAGACATTAGGAAAGCGAGTGAAAGGGGACAGGCGTCCCATTGTGGCTGTCACCCAGGACTGCCAATGGGCAATTCATCCTAGGAGGAGAAGCTTCCAGCTCAGGCTGGAGGGTTTCCTGTGCACAGCAAAATGTGTCACATAAAACAAAGATAAGAGCCTCAAAATAGGTGGGCAGGCAAATGAGGCTGCACATCTGTGTTTCTGGTTTCACGGTTCTTTGCAGTCTGGGCTTGCAGAAGAACTTCCGCTTCAGAGCTGCGGACCTGCAGTTTAAGTTGACCCTTCTCAAGAAACATACAGCTAAAAAAACGTTTGCAAGGTTTGAAGCAATGCAAGTTTCTCTAGGCCATGCACAACAACCACTCTCACACCCAAATCTTGCTGCACACGTTTGAACATCTGAACGTCTTCATTCACTCAGTGTTTTATTTAAGAGAAAGAGGCGAGGAACTCTAGATAAACAGGTTTTCAAAAGCTGTCAGTGGACAGGTACCAGTTACAGGTGTAGGGACAAGTTCAAGGGGGCAGTTTTGTGGCAAGCCTGCCGAAGCCGCTGCCCCTTGGGGGATGCCACTGGGCAGGTCCCTGCGACCCCAGCTCAGGTGAGTCTGATCCACCCGTAGCTCTGAATTGAGCTGTCTGTGCTGATTAGCTCTGTGATGAGCCAACACGCTCCTGCTCTTCCCCGGAGTGGCGTGCATCTTGCTACTGCAGATGCAGGGGTCTGAGGTTTCCAGTGACTTACTTACCTCCCCATGTTAGCTGTCTTTGCCAGTGCCAAGGAGTCGGTGGTTTCACAGGGACTCAGCCTACGATTCTGACGGCCACGTGGGGAGTGGATGAAGAAGCCCTTTCTTTGAGAGGCTGCACCTGCAGCAGCTGCGCCCCCGGGTTTCACCGGTTCTGAATAAAACCGCTCACCAAATCCATCACCTGGCTTCAGATGTGACTCTTGTGTGTCAGTGGCGTGGCTTGACCTGTGCCTGGGGAGGTGACCTCTGTGTTGCTCACGAGGACCTGAGGGTACCCTCTAACACATACACACACACACACACACACACACACACACACACACACGCAACTGCCACCACCTCCCACCTGCGCTCCACATCCAAGCCACGGAACCGAGAACGATCACATGTGCAGCCTGACTCCCGCTCCGCACTGCCATTTTTGGACCAGAGCGCCTATCTCTGCGATTCCACGCATCTGCTCCAAGCCCCCGTCCCACCAGACCAACCTCACGTGGGCCAAAGACCAGCCTACCTCGTCCCGCCTTCCCACAGCGCCCCGGCTCGAGGCCCTGAGAGGCCCAAAGCAGTTGCTCCTCCACTGCTGACCACCGTTCCTGCCGAGTCACACGGCCCCAGCTCCAGTTCCCGCAGGTATTTAAGGAAAGAGCTGCTCCCGTGGCTTCACTGAGGACAGTACCCGATAGCAAAGAAGAGCTAATCGAAAATACCCAAATAAAAATATCCAAGTCCCCCGGTGCAGGGACAACTAAGTTTCTACAAATGCTAAGAAGACCGATTTGGGTTTGACGGCAAACTGTGGTTGCTCCACCACTGGGCAATTTCAGGAAGTCCTGCGCGCACAGATGCAGACCCCCAAGTCCCTTTGGGAAATGAGCAGGACAGGGCAGGGGCATTGCCCAGACTCGGTGGGACAGTGCCCAGTGTTCTGGATTTGAAAAAGAGTGTTTCATTCAATGATTTTTGAGTTAAAGTATTTGCTCAATGCTTATGCATGTCAGGGAGGTTCCGGGAGTGTCCCCTGCCCCAGTCAGCACACTCTGTGGCTCCCTCATGAGACGCGTACAGCTCACGTCCGATTTCAGAGCTGAACCCAGCACCTCCGGTGGGGCCTCCTCCACCAGGCCGCCCCGGGGCACGGAGCTCGCATCGCTCCGGCCTGGGCGTGAGAACGGAGGTGGGCTCTCACTGCTGGAAGAGGAAACCACGCGTTATTTAAGTTCCTTTTCACTTAATTTATCAGACTAATATGCTGAGGTATTTTCTGCATCACCAGGGACCGTTTGGGAGAAGCTTGCATGGAGTAAGCGTTTAATGTTTACTGAGCGAATGTATAATAAAGCCGACTCTGAACGCTTAAGTAAACACGGCCGATTAGAGGAAAGGCGGGTGGTGTCAGTTAGGAGAAATCACGGCTCACTAATCTCCTTTAGTTCTTTGAGCAGATAAATAAGCATATGGATAAGAGGGAACCACAGAACCCAATTTAATTTGACTTTCAAAAACCTGGGAGAAAATCCCACTCTAATGACTGTTTTTAAAAAATTGAGTCACTAGGGTTGTTTTACCATGAATATGGAATTGGCCTGCAGACCGTAAACAAAGCTGGAGATGAGCGGGTACGTTCCCGGTGGAAACCTGCACACACTGGGGATTCCTAGCCATCTCATCTTCCATGGGTCTTTCTACCGATTGTGAACGATCTCGATGAAGAAGCGTGTATTGAATCTCCGGGCTCGGGGAATACCTCATTCTTCTGGGAGAAACGTCAAGGTGATGGAGATTCAGTTCGGTTTGAACAAGAATATACTGGATACTGAATAGTCATTACACGTTTGTGCCATGGGGTATTAAAAAAAGAACCACAAGATACAGTTCCTGGCCTTAAAGAGCTCATCGTCAAGTTAGGGTAAAAGCCGTATCTTCCTTTCCTGTACATAGTAGAAGCCACCATGGGGACAATTGTGGAAAGGAGTGACACACGTAAGTGCTGTCAGAGTTCAGAGAACGGGAAAGCAAATGTGGATGACGGTAAGGAAGGCTTCATGGAGGAGGAGGAAACTGAGGCGAGCCTTGAGAATCAATGGCTAGGGTTCGGACAGGTGTAGGAACGAAGGGTTTTCCTGTTAACAGCACTAATGTCTCACCTGGCAAGTACTGCGCAGAGGCAGAGCTTATCTGCGTGGTCCCATTTAGTTTACAACAGCCCACGAAGGTACAGCATAACCCCCTTCCAGAGGAGGAACAAGAAGCTTAAGGAAGTTGAGAAATGTGCTCAAGCTCACACTGTGATACACACGAGACCCACGGTTGAGCTGCCCCCAATCCCAGGGGCATGTCAGTGTGAGGGAGGGTACAGGGCAGGCCTCTCAGAGCAGGTGGGACAGAGAGTAGAGGACCAGCGGGGGTGACCGCTTGTACTGGGGAGCAGTGAGACACAGACTGGAGCATATGCAATGGATCTACGTCACAGGGGCCCTTAAATCACATCAGGGGAACTCGCGCTCAATCCTGAAGGCTTAATGGAAAACTTGGGCAACACTGAGCTCTGCTATTTTCTGTCACCTCTCCCATTCTTTGGGATGTCTCATCAAAGATAAAGAGTAAGACGTGTACTTTCCAAAAACAACAGGACATGTACATCCTGTGCAGGTTGGAGCCCTCTTAAAGGCTCCTCCCCCTACTGGGGGACACATTTCCCTCCTAACGTTGCCTGTCTTCGCTTTCCAGCCCTAATACTTTTGTACCCTCTGGGAAAGACGTAAGCACAAGAGCCTCAAAATTTTGCTTTCCTGCTGGCATATATTAACCTTGCTCAGTCTTCTGCAGTCACTTGGCCTGTGCCCTCTGGACTCCTCTAACTTTGAACACAGCTTTAGCTGTGGTTTTAGCATTTTTATTAGCCTCAACTTCTCTGGAGCCTTGGCTTTCTTGAAGCATTTCTTGAATGCAAATGCCACTCTTTTATACCAGTCCTGTACATCTCTTTTGAAAACCTGAGTTCACTGGGGAGCTCAATTTGGAGTGGAACTGACTTAAACCCGATAAGAGGCCTGACTGCGTCCCTGTTCAATCCGTCACGCAGTGCTTGCATCTTAGGATGATTCCCCGTCCGTCCACATACAGAAAGAAAACTACATACCATTCTGTTGGTAAAGTTACTGAAGTTCTCAACCAACACCTGCTTGATCATGTCTGGCTCAGAAATAACAATAAACATCCGCCGACCAAGATAGTACCTGGGAGGAATAAAAAAAATTAAATTAATTAAATTAAATTGAAATTTAAAATGTGTTCATTTACCCATTTCTCCTTTCCTAAAAAGAATTCAGAGTAGCTTAGAATGAAGGATAAAGGATAAATAGGAAGTAAAGATGGAGAAGATGAGGGAATGCATGTTCCAATCCAGAGCAACCGCGTAGCTGTGATGATCTAACACCAAATGCTTTCTACCAGCATTTATGGAATGCCACTGTGTACCAGTCCCTGGAGACTCTGGGCTGAGTAAGACATAGTCCCTACCCCAAGGAGCTTATAGGCTGATAGGAAAGACAGATCTCTAAATGTAAACACAATAATAAGGGGTTCATCAGATCCGGTATTAAGACAAAGAAGGAAAATGACAGGGGTCAGTGCTGTCTATAATTTCTAAAAATGGGGAGATAGGCATTCTAGCAAGAGAAGACCAATAATCTTTAAACTGATTCTCAAAAAACGTCTAAAATGAATGAATAAACAGATGCTTGTGAGAATGTGGGAAGATTAAATCTGCTGGGGAAGGCTGAATATCTGATTGCCACACCTGTATATAAAGAAGCTCAACAGACACTTAGGACGTTAATGATGGGCGCTCAGCTGGTGGCAGTGAACGCTAACGGGAGGCAATGCATATGTACATGTTTTATTATATTTATGAAAGTACTGGGGACACAAAAGCAATCAAGTCCCAGTCACAGCCTTCAAGGGTCTCACCATCTGTTGGGAGGGACGGTTAGACAATCAGCGTACAATGTGACGTGCTGGGAGGCCTGAAAGACATTGAAGGTACACCCAGCTCAGCACTTGAAGAGAGTGTGAAGACCTCCCAGAGGTGGCACTTCCCAAATGGAGTTCTGTAAGATGAGCAGGAGTGCGTCCAGGAAGGTGGGTGACAAAGGAGGTGAGGGTGTGTTGGGAAGAGGGATCAGCTCGAGCAACTGGCCAAGACAAGCCTGCCTGGGGGAACTACAGGCGTCCAACCGCCAACCATGCGAAGGAAGCCAGAGTGATGACGAGGGGCCCATGGCACAAGGACATGTCTTTAGTGTGTGAAATTATACTTTCAGGAATGTGATTTGATCACCAGTGTATCCAGCTCAGAGCGGTAAAGAACAGATTTTAAAGGGGAAAGTCACATGCAAAGGCAGCCAAGTGTACTCCAGCATTCTTAGTTACTCAGAACTTTTCATAACTCCAAAATAATGGTAATTTTAAAACTCTTCTCCTTCTCACTGACTTGGGGAAAAATGAAAAAAAATCCGTTTGTCTGGCACATATTAGGTGCTCAGAAAATATTCACCTGAGTGATCATATTTTCCAAAACTGTTGGAGAAATCTTTGGACATAGAAATTCGACAGATGTGGTACAAGAAAAGACAGGGATACCAACTAGTTTTTTTACTGGTTTCAACCAATAAAACCAAAAATAATCCAATAAGGCCATAAACCTATGCTTTTATAACATTTGTGGCGAGTGTCATGAGTCTTTTGAGAATCTAGTGAAAGCTGTGGACATTTTCCTAAGAAAAATAAAACACAGCATTTGTATACAATTTGAGAAGTTCTTGGGCCTCTGAACCGTACTCCAGAGCAATATTTCTCAAACATCAAACGTGCTTAAAAGTCACCTTAGTTTGAAGAAATAACAGCCAAAAATTTCTCCAATTTGGCAAAAGACATACACCTACAGACTCAAGAAGCTGGATGAACCTCAAATATGATAAACTCAAAGAAATCCATGCCAAGACACATTATAATTAAATTTCCGAAAACTAAAAAAGAAAGAAAAATTCTTGAAACCAGCCAGAGAGAAATGATGTATTACCTACAGGGAACACCAATTCAGAGGATGGGAATTTCTCATCAGAAACCATGGAAGCCAGAAGGAAGTGGCACGTTTTTCAAGGGCTGAAGGGAAAGAATTGTCCATCACAAGTTGATAATTTGGTGAAAGTTATCCTTCAGGAGAAAAGTGGAAATAATGACATTCTCAGATGGAGGAAAACTAAGAGTTTTGTCACTAGCAGACTTACCCTTACAGAATGGCTAAAGGAAGTTCTGTACACAGAGGGGAAATGATAACAGAAGAAAGTGTGGAACTTTAGAAAGCAAAGAACAATGGAATGGGTAAAAATAATAGACTATCATTCTTATGAATCTCTTAAGTCATACTTGATGGTTGGAAGCAAAAATTATAACACCATGTGATGTGGTGCTCAATGTATGTAGAGGAAATACTTAGGACAAGTATATATTTAAAAAGTTAGGAGGGTAAAGGGACCAAAATGGAAACAAAATTTCCACACATCACTCGAAATGATGAGGCATCCATACTTGTAAACTGTGATAAATTACATATGCACATTTATGCAACACTAAGAAAACCATACAAAGTAATATATAAAACATTTTTAATAAGCCAAAATGGAATTCTAAAAAATGTTCAAGTAACCCACAAGAAGGCAAGAAAAGTGAAATAAGAAACAGAGGGTCCAAAAGAGAACAAATACATGATTATATTATAATTAAACATAATGTAAAAATTAGATAACATCAAAATTTGTGGTTACGCTAAAGTAGTAATGACAGAAAAATTTATAGCATGAAATGCCTCCCTAGAGAAGAAGATTTTAAGTGAATAATCTATGGTCCTACCTCAAGAAACTAGAAAAAGAAAAGCAAAAAACTTAAGCAGAAGGAAGAACATAATAAAGATAAGCGTAGAAATCAATGAAAGTGAAAACAGAAAAAAATAGAAAAATTAATAAAACAAAAAACTGATTCTTTCTAAAAAATCAATCAAATTAATAAACCTATAGCAAGACTAACAAAGATAAAAAGAGAGAAGACACAAATCATCAATATCAGGAACGAAACAGGATTTCACTACAGATCACACAGCCTTTAAAAGGATAAGGGACTACTATAGACTAGTACATTTGACAACTAGGAAGAAATGGACCAATTTCATGAAAACCACAAACTACTAAAACTCAGTGAAGATGAATTAAACAATCTTAGGAATCCTATAACCATAAAAAAATTGAATTCATGTTTTAAAATTTTCTGAAAAATACATCTCCAGACCTAGATGGTTTCAATGAAGAATTCTACCAAACATTTAAAGAAGAATTAACAATAATTTTATAACCCTGACATCCAAATCAGACAAAGACAGTATAATAAAGGAAAATTATAGACAAGTATCCCTCATGAACTTAGAAACAAAAATATTCAATACATCAAATCTAGCAGTGTATAAGAAGAATCACACAGAACAACCAAGTGGTATTTATTCTAGGTATACAAGGCTGGTTTAATATTTTTAAATCAATCAATATAATCCACCATATTAACTGCCTAAAAAAGAAAACTTATGTGATCATATCAGTTGATGAAAAGAGAGAATTTGACAAAATTTGGCACTTGATCATGGAAAAAACTCTCAGGAATAGAGGAACTTTCTCAACTCAATAAAGAATATCCACAAAAAACCTACAGCTAATATCATACTTAATGGTGAAAGACTGAATGCTTTTCCCTAAGATGGAGAGCAAAGCAAAGATATGCACTCTCACTACATTTGTTTGACATAGTACAGGAAGTTCTAGCCAGTGCAATAAGGCAAGAAAAATAAGTAAGAAGCACATAAATTGGAAAGGAATAAATAAAATTTTCCCTATTTAAGATGACATAATTGTCCACAGAGAAAATACTAGGGAATAAAAAAAATCTAAAAGGAATATAAGAAATATATAATAATATATATAAATATAAGGAATAAAATAATTCTGCAATTGAGTTCAGCAGGTTTCAGTATTCAAGATCAATATACATGAATCTTAAAGTCACCTAATAAAGAAAGATCAACATATAAAACTATCAATAGCATTTCTACATACTAACAATGAACATGTGGAAACCAAAATGAAAACACAGTACCATTTACAATGCTGATGAAAGAAATCAAAGAAGACCTGAGTAAATAGAGAGACATAACAAGTTTATGGATCAGAAGACTCCACACTCTAAAGTTACCAATTCTCCCAAAACTGGCCTATAAGGTTAATGCAATTCCAATCAACATCCCAGCAAGAATATTCATGGGCATAGACAAACTTATTCTAAAACTTATATGGAAAGGCAGAGGACTTAGAATAATTAAGTCAATTTTGAAAAGTAGAATGAAGTGGAAGGAATCAGTCTACCAGATCCCAAAACTTGGCTAGAGTAGTCAAGATTGTGTGGTACTGGCAGAGAGACAGACACATCAATCAATGGGACAAAATAGAGAAACCAGAAATAGACCCACACATAGATACTCAACTGGTAATTTTTTTTTTTTTTTTTTTTTTTGAGACAGAGTCTCACTCTTTTGCCCGGGCTAGAGTGAGTGCCGTGGCGTCGGCCTAGCTCACAGCAACCTCAAACTCTTGGGCTCAAGCGATCCTTCTGCCTCAGCCTCCCGAGTAGCTGGGACTACAGGCATGCGCCACCATGCCCGGCTAATTTTTTCTATATATTTTTAGTTGTCCGATTAATTTCTTTCTATTTTTAGTAGAGATGGGGTCTCGCTCTTGCTCAGGCTGGTTTCGAACTCCTGAGCTCAAACAATCCGCCCGCCTCGGCCTCCCAGAGAGCTAGGATTACAAGCGTGAGCCACCGCCCCCGGCCTCAACTGGTAATTTTGATAAAGATACAAAATCAATTCAATAGAGGAAGGGTAGACTTCTCAACAAATGCTGCTGGAGCAACTGGACATACATAGGCAAAAATATGAATCTCTTACCTTATACAAAAAGTAATACAAAATGGACCACAGACTTAAATGCAAAATATAACACTAAAATTTTTAGAAAAAACATGGAAGAAAATCTTTGAAATTTAGAGCTAAGCAAAGAGTTCTTAGACTTGACACCAAAACATAATCCATAAAAGACAAAAGTCAATACATTGGACTTCATCAAAATCAAAAAATTTT